TGCCGCCTCCGAAAAGGTTGAAATGTATTTAATATAATACCTAACGAGTAAATAGGTTTCATTCATATCTGTTACGTAATTGTATGATTGAATGAAATAGAAATTACTTCATTAGGAAATAGAAATTATTTTATACTTTTTAGTGCATTTCGAAGTCGGCGTATTTTTTTTCTTAAAATTATTTTATTCTTGAAACCACTTTCTTCATACCGAAAGGACGGATTTCTCGGTGACTATTGCATGTTATGTCTAATTGACATAAAGTATGCAAATGGAATTTATTGAATACTGCAATTCGTTAACGATAAGGAATGTGACATTAAATATCGAAATTTTTTTGTTTTATTTCTGACAATAATATTGGCCAACGAATTTACGTATTTTAATAAGAAATACTGTTTCTGTTTGTAAAAAAAAAAATAGTTTCAATGTGAGATCTAACAAATGTATTAACCTCTCTACTAATTTAGAGGAAATTTATTAAAATAAGACTCATCCATTCTTTGAAAATAATCCTGTTTGTTAACAATCCGTCAGTGAAAGTGATGGGGTAATTGCCACTGGATCGTCCCGCCGATGTTGACCTACCGCAGACATTGCTACCGTATAACACAGCTGGTGGCACTCACAGGTCACTGCACTGTCTTCCCTTCAAAACACTTTGGTTTTCACTTTCACTTTATGGAGAATTCCTGGTAAAAGGTATTGTCCCTTTTGATTCCTCCGAGGATGTCCGAAAGTGGCCGGTTATTTGAATGGTGTCCTGGACTGCTCCTGTGATTAATAATAAGTAGCCCCGAAAGGGGCCGATTTTGTGATTGTGATATTTTTTGGCTCCGAAAGGAGCCGATTGTGTTAAGTTGAATTTTTATAGCTCCGAAAGAAACCGATAATGTTGTTCCTGATTCTTCTTCGTATGATTCAATGAGTGGCCCCGAAAGGGGCCGATTACCGCCGGCAGTCACATCATCAGTGGCTCAATATGGCCACCCCCTGTAGAAACACATGTCCGCAACCGCTTGACAACATTTTTCTGTACTCACCGTAATAGGTCCGATGTTATTTTGGCAACCGCGCCGTGGATGCGGGCTACCACCTCCTCCGGCGTGGTCACCTCCTCGCGGTACATCTCATTCTGTAACAATTAAATTAAAATGCAAATTGTCAATTTTTTAATTGTTATCAGTCGTTAATTGTGAATAGATATCATACCTTTAAGAATCCCCAGAAAAAAAAGTCCAGCGGATTCAAATCAGGAGATCTTGGAAGGCTTTGTTCAAGTACGTCCTAACATTAGCGATATAATGGGCAGGCGCACCATCATGTTGCAAGACCATGTTCCTCCGAACCTCTAATGGAATATCTTCCAACAGATTTGGAAGAACACGTTCTACAAAAATTTGATACGAAGGACCGTCCAATCTGTTTGGCAGATTCTGTCAAATCTGTAAAGATTCTGCATAATCTGTTTTGTCCAACGACAAAATTCCCGCAAATGCCAGCCTATACGTTGACAGACCAGCGGTTTTACGCAGAGCGTGGACGAATCGCATGCGGGTTCTCGGCGTCCCATGCATGTGAGTTGTGGGTATTGAAGCACCCCTCCCTTGTAAAAAGGGCTTTATCTGTCCACAAAACACATGACGGGAACGACTGATTCTGCTCGATTTCCCCCAAGATCGATTTTGAAAATTGCATGCGCTGTGAAAAGTCCCTAAAATTTAAATGTTGCACTCGTACATATTTATACGGGTGCATCTCGTTTGCATATGTTTTTCTTGAAGGTTCAGTGCACCGCGGAGCGATGCATACTGAAATAAAATACAGAAATATATTAATAAATGGATAGAAGAAGGATACTTTAATATTAACGTTTGAATATTTTTAACATTACTTACCCTAAGCGGCGAGCGACGCCTCGTATGCTTGACGTTCCATCTTCGTGGAATTGTTCGAGTACCTCGTCCGTTCGTACCGTAGGAATCTGGCCCGAACTGCATCGGATCATGTAGGGTGAAACGAGCCACTCGAATACAATCTGTTCGCTAATCTGCGAATATAGTTCGCATTGGGAGGATTGTCACTGCGATACTTTTCTGCGTAGCGTTGGGCACACACATGCCCCAGCGATGAGGGGTCCGCTTCGGCGGAGGAGTGAAGCCGGCAACCTGGGGGTTTTCCGTAACGAGGCACAGAGAAAACAAGAAAAAAATATGCCTCGTTATACGTTATATGACATTTTCCTACCATAAATTTTCTTTAGAAATAAACTCCCTTGCGAAGTTTATTCGTTTCTTTCTGTTTACTTTATTAATGTAGGGTTTCTTACTAGCTAAAACCTGTTTATTAATCTCTTCAAAAATCTCGCTTAAACACGGATTTTCTTTAACTTTCCGAACAACTCTCCTTTTTTCTCTCGCGTTTAAAACAGGTGGATGACCAGTTTGTGGGACAAATTTGATGCGATCCTCATTATTAAATCTTCGAACTATATTTGTCACAGTACTTTTGCTCGCACCAAGTAAGCAACTTATATCACAGTATAATCTTCACTTTTCTCAGTGAAATATTATGAGCTGACATAATATGTACACTACCGCCCAAAAGTATCCGGACACTTGCTTTTGTTTCATAAACCATAGTTGTACTTTGTACAAAAGGTATTTAGGGCTATTATATCATTTGTAATAATTATTATTATCTTTTTTAAGGTATCATAACGTAATAGAATTAATTTTTAAGTACAAATTATACAATGAGAGTGCGGAAGTAAAATTCCTGTCCAGAAGTACGATATCTAATGGAGCGCTTTCGATCCTAAAAAGAGTCTTAATTTCTACTTTGTTTCATTTTTATGGTGCAGAACGAATTCAGTGAGTTCTCCAATATGTTTCAAGTGTTTGTAAATTGTTGATGAAAGTTTTAGGTTCCTTCAATGGAAATAAGAACGGAGGTAATACTATGCACTCGACAGCTTCGGTTTAGTTCGTCTGTAGCTTCTTTTCCGTCGAGACCTGAGTTCTGAACGAGAATTATCAATCGAACAACGTTTCAGTATTTTGACTTTTGCAGAATAAAAATTGATTTTAGTTACTGTTGCAGATACTTAAATAACTTTTATACACCGCGAATACATATTTCGCTCATGTCCGGATACTTTTGAGCGGTAGTGTATATTATCAAACGATGTATTTCTGCCTTTGTGATCCATTTCGATTAATTAAAGATGCTACTGAATAATACT